AATCGGCAATGAGATGTTTTAGGCTCCACTGTCAACTTTGTCGAGTGGAGCTTATCATACGAGTGATTGTTCCTTGTCGTCCGATGTCGTGTCATCTTTTTAGCTCCGCTGTCGACAAAGTTGACACAGCGGGAGCTGTTCATATTACTGATTGTCCATCGTCGTCGGCGTCCGTCATCGTCAACTTTACAATTTCAACTTCTTCTTCGAAACCGCAAGTCAGAATTTTTTCAAATTTGATATGCAAGTACCTGGATGGTTCTTTCTCAGATTCGTTCATTTCATGTCAAAATCTCAAATTCTCTAATTTTGATGAATATTTTTGTTATTTTTGGTAAAAAGTGATTTTCAACTTCTTGTTAAAAACAGCAAGTCCAATTTCTTTGATATTACATATATAGATACTACATGTAGCAAACCGGTATAGATCTTCTCGACGTACGCTGCGTTTGTGACTTGTTTTTTCAAATTGTTGCCATTATATGCAATGGGCTACCCAGCTTGATGCAAATCGTTATAGATACTTATCGTTTGTTCAAAAAATCTTTTAACTGTCACAAATACCATGAACACGAAGAGTTAACTGAAAGGGAACATCGTTTTTTGACAAAAATTTATCAATACAAGATTATATGTGCAAGGTTAGATTTATAGAAGTACAGTGAAACACAGGAGACACTTTAGTTTGCCCTTTTCTTGTTTACCAAATCTTTTGTCGAGAATACAATACAGACAAAAATAAACATTATGGGTGGTCCTACCGTTGGCATTGTTTTTATGGTTGGTCCTACCGTTGGCATTGTTTTTTCTCAGCTTTTATTAGCACAGGATTATTTTGCTAGACAAGATGGGCTTCGTAATATCTGCCATAACATCGTCCGGGTGATCTTTTGGTTCACACATTTCTAAAAAAAAATCAAATCCTCCATGAGATTGCCCAGGGCGGGGTATCAGGTGAATCTAGTATTTCAATGAATCTTGATACTCTTAGACAATGCAACAATGTAATTAGTTCAGGGATTATAAATTTTGATAATGTGGATAATATTGTTTTCATGTTATGCAATTTTCTCAGCACACGAGTTCTTTCTAAGCTATCTGTGATTTTAATTTTTTACACAGATCGTAAATATGAGTTAACATTCAAGACTGCAGATGATCCTGGTTTGAAATTAACAACTTATGGTGAATTTCTTTATGAACATCTTATCATATTTTCACCTACAGTTTATGGTAAGTATGGTTGCATTGCTACATACTGTAATTTTACTTTACTTTGTTAGACCTCCTCATTTTTGCTTGAAGAATTTGTTTTTATTTTGCTGACAATTCAGTAGTGAATTTGTGTATAGCAACCACCAAAAGAACTTGAAATTGTCTTTATGGACGCGTGACCTTTGTATGAATGTTAGATTATTTGTCATCGATTGATTGCTAACTGATACATTGGATATACTGTAGAATACTTTATTTTCACTTAGAATTTATTTTCGCTATTTTCGCTGAAAGGATGATTCCGTGAAAATAAAATCCAGCGAATATACATTTTTTCCTATATTTCTATATAAACTCATCAAAAATCAGTGAAAATATATTCCATACAAAATGTCCAAAAAGCCTTTTCAGCGAAAATTAATTCCAGCGAAAATAAAGTATTCCACAGTATTTGTTTTCCAGAAAATAATGAGATGGTACTGCTGTAACAAATACTTATTTGAGTTGAGCAAATTTAAAATAAGTTTCACTCGAAGACGGTATGCTAACTGTCCTGGTTTAACAAAAGGCGAATCTCCAAAAAAAAAATGGTGAAATGTGGTCACCATTACACACAGCTTGTGCATATGTTATGCCTTGTGATAGCCTAAAAGTGGTCACTATAAGCAGGTGGTTATACACAGGTTGGCCATACATTACCGTACTCAACCACGTTAGCGCCCATGCCCGCCTGGTCAAGTGCCCACCCCCCACTTTTGCACAATTTTCATATTCGGGGTCACATTCGGCAAAGCGCCCACCCCATCAAAATGCAACTAATTTAAAACTTGGTCTTTGATAATTGAGTAACAAATACTGGTAATCGTTTTTATACCATGATATAGCGTGGATATCAACCGCCATTTGACAAAAAAGATAATGATGAAGATTTTGACTTTGACTGTGTTCCAACAGACACTAATATTTTTAACCTTGTAAATTCAGGTGGTACGTAATTAATATTGTAATAAAATGTGCATATTTTTTGTGACCATTTCTGTTTCTTCATTCAATGAAGATGTACTAAATTTGTAATTTTACATTTTCCTCAAAGACTAATATCTCCCTCAATCTGTCGCATAATGAATTAAAATTGTCATTTGCACTCTTTTCCAAGAGCAATCAAGATTTTCTGAATTGAGAACACTGGGCACTGACTCGGTCGAGTATTGTGTCTTGCGTGATCCGGTGTCTTTCAAAGTCACCGGCACTAGAACAGACACTGATCCACCGATCACATTTCTCAGGTTGTGTTTTTGGTTTCGTGAAACATGTAAAAAACGAATCATTCATGTAATACTTTAGATGAAATCGAGAATCACTCTTGCATTCACCACAAGTGCACCGTTTAACTCCCATTGTAGGGCTTTTGTACAGTCAATATTGTTGTGTGAACAGTGGCGCTACCACCCGTATCTAAAACTCTTCTTTTCAGTAAAATAATGTCAGAATAATTCTGATAGCCTAAATGGTAGTTCTAATTGAATGATTCTATCGTTACAAACTGAAAAAAATAACCAAAAAACTGATGTAAAGTTT